AGGTAGAGCTTCTCTCTTTGTTTTTTGGGTGGTTTTTCCCCCCCCCCCCCCCCCCAACCAATTTAATGCAAAGCATTATGCGATTACAAGGGAAATGAAGTTTCTGAGCTGCTGATCTTCACCTTCCAAAGCTCTCTCTCGGAACATGGGACCACGGGTACTGAACAAACAATAAGAGCCATCCTAACCATGAAACTATTAACAAGCTGGTTAAAGAAAAGAAGCTGGTTCAAAGGGGAGTTATTTTAACACTATGAATTTAAGACATTCCTGTTATCAGACCTGACTCAAAAGGAAAAGCCCTAAAGTACAGAGCCATAAAGTTTTGCAATATGGTACAATGAAGAGATATTGTCTGATGTAGCCACATAAACAGGATGCAAGGGCCAGTTATGCACACAGAAAGGGCTAGTGAGGCAGTGTTTGCAATAAAAACAAGTTCCAGAAGCACTCTGGGGGGAAAATCCTAGAATCAATTACATCTCCCCACATCTGGGAGGCTCCCTTTGCTGATACACATGTGCAGCATTCACAGAAAATCAAAGGGCAGTTAAGACCAAAGGGGGAGCAGACTCCCTGCTCCACAACTGCGTGGCTACTGTCTTACACTCCAAACAACTTCAGAACCCTCCCAAAGCATTTTTCACACATTGAAGAAATCTCTCTCAGTAATGCAGGGCAGTGAAGGGTTAATATTAACAACACCCAGTTTGCTCAGCATCTCTTTTGAAGAATGCACTAGGTTTATAAACCCCACACAAGCAGGAGCCCCTCCTCCGCTCTCCCAAACAAACACACTCTGCAGCAGGCACAATAAACACCCAAAGACAAAGAGCAGCTGAAGAAAAGACCCCTGAACACAGAGGCCTGTGCTGGGAGGAGAGCACAGAAAAGGCTCTGTGATGGCAGGGCCACGATAAGGCCAGAGACAAAGGCTCCAGTGTTCATGGGACGAGATAGCCGGGACAGTCTGGCCGGACAGCGAGCAGCCCACACAGCTTCATTTAGTCATCTACAGCTGGAGGCATCAACAGATCAAGGCAGCTCCAGGCTGCCCAGTGAAAAGTGCAACGCAAGCGGAGGGGGAAGATTTTCCACTGCAACTCAAATGGCTGCTGGTGCAACTCCAGACCCGAGAACTCATTTGAGCTGTCAGAGCCGAAGGCCCCCAGCTCACTGCTCAGCCCGTTTCTTAAACCTGAGGGCTCCCAACTGCCAAGGTCGGGCACCTGTAAACCGCATTCACACCAAGCTTAGCAGACAGGAAAAGCTTTTAGTGTCAATGCACCTAGCACCATGAGATGAAAGACAACAGGGAAATTGAATGGACTGTGATGTGATGCATTGCTTCCAGCGGAGAAATACGAGCTCAGCACAGCTCCTTCTTGCTCAGAGGCAGAGGTTTACATGGGGATTCCCAAGTGTCCAGGTGAAGGAGAACAAGGCCTTGTTTGGCTGTCTCTTGAATATACGGTAGGACAAGTGCCCAGAGTAGAGAAGCAGTACTCACGCAAGCTATAATCGTACTACGGATTTAAGATGCAAAATACGCATTACAAATGGCCACAGATTTTCTGCGATGGAGCCCGAGGGATGGATTTAAAGCCTTCTGTTATTTCCTGGATTTTTATTCAATCTGAAGGGGTTTTCTACTGTTACAACAAAATTTTATGACAAAGTGCCCCAAATAACTCATCTTTTTCTTGCAATGCCTAAACTAGTGCAACGACATGCCTGTCATCTGGTCAGCACATGACTGGGTAGTCTTATGTAAGTAGTGGGCAGTGCTGACTGGGCAGCATTACATACATCACAAGAAATAATGATGCTGCTACACACTGGCAAAAATTGCACGGCACTGAGAAAACCACCTTTTCCTAAGAGAAATGTAGCACTTCTGGTAGCAATGCCAGTGTGCTTCTAATTGCCACCAGACGACAATTGCAACATGATCCTGAGCAATGGAAGATGTATACATAAAGATAACAATTAAGCATATTTAACTGGGATTATCTGTACTTCACCAGCTTGCCAACCAGTGCAGGCTCTGAGCTTACTCAACCTGTCCCACATGTTTTGTAAGACTCCATGCTCTGCTGACTTGTTCTGTCATAAATCACAAAGCATTTGCTATCCATCAATAACCATTAACCTATCTGTTTTTTTCATAACATAGAAGTGTTTATGGATTTTCCTCTCTCTGCTCTCCAAAACAGTGCCATGCAATACTAAAAAGCCACAGAGAGCCCAGAAAAGAAACCGTTCTCAATGCATATGTATGTTGACTACAAAGCACCAAAGCAAGTATAAGTACTACTATAAAGTCTAGTTTATGGGTGACTCCCCCCCGAATGACCTTGAAACTGAGCAGTGCAGCAGTTACAAATGGAACCGCCAGCCCCACAGCCCGAGGCGCCCACAATGCAGTAACTGCACTTAGGGCTGTACAGTCACCCTGGTGACCTGATTAGCTCGGCACCCCACACCGGTCATGGGCTATGGGAGACCCCAGACAGACGCTTGCTTGCCAAGCTGCAGAACCCCATCTAGGGTTGATTTATGCTGCTGCTTAAAGTGGCTGGAATCACACACAACTTCACTTCCTAGAAAGTGCTGCTTGTTTTGAGCAGGGAAGAGAAAACACAATCAGCCCTGCATCTCAAAGCAGACATTGGAAAAAAAAGAAACCAAACCATTAAATGCCTTTCTGTTTGGTCAAAATGGTGCTATGGCACCTCACTCCTGCTTTCACTGTTCATCCACCCTGCTCAACCTGTTAGCTTAATTAGCCTTTGCCAAGTTTGAGCACAACCTCTTTCCCAGTGTCCCCTGTATCCAAGCCCAGGCTACCTCTGACCAACAGTATATTTCTCATTCCCTTTGCACCATACCTAACCTCCCAGTCCCACACCCACTCTGCTAATGAGCTCAGCTTGTGTTCCCCCCTGCAGGGGAACTGGGAATTACTCCTGACCTACTCCACTGAGAGTTATTGCCTGAAAACCTGTTTTGCTCAGACTGAGGTCACCTCATCACCACGTTCCTTGCCTTGGAGCCCAGTAAGAACTCCTCCATTTTCAGTATCAGCCATACTATTGAGGTGTGAGGGATTAAATTTTAACATGTATACAGAGCTTATAATTTTCAAAGTGCTTTAAAATTAACAGCTATTTGACTCAAATCCTCTGAAACAGATAATCGTTAACTCTAGGTTACAGGACAGGGAAACAGAGAGAAATGAAATGCCTCACCCAAGGTCACGGTGAGTCAGTAAGGACCAGGACCCTGCAGCTCCTGGCTGGCAGCCTGCTGTGCAGCTTTATTGTTTGCACCACTTTCTGCCAGGGAATACTTGCTGACTTTTCACTGGTGTCAGAAACAAAGTGGGACTTCAATGAGATAAAAGTTGACCCCTCGTAATGATCTTTAGCCATTTTAATCTCATTTTCAGCACAGCTACAATGTTTTTCACAGAAGGAAGGATCAGGATTACTTTCCAGTTTTTCCACATAATGATCTATATTTGATCTAAGCTCTCAGCACCTGCCATATCAGCTCCCATAGGGGCATCCACAACCAGAAGCAAATGGACTAGGGAATGGAGAAAACCATTTCCCAGTCCCCCAAGGTGGAACACATAGGACTGCCGTTCAGAAGTGAAGTCCATGCAGTATGGCAAAGGTAATTACAGCGATAGCAGGGTAAGGGAGAGTAGGTTGGCAAACATTTTACCATAGTCACAGAGGGGACACGCATGACATTTTGGAATGAAGATTCAGTAAGTTTATCTGCCTTCACACTCCGTGTGCTCTGAGATAGCACATATCAC